GACTGCGGATTTGTTCGCTGAGGGACCTCCACATCCGTATAACTGACAGATGAGTGTAGCTTTAAGGATCTTAGAAGTTGGTTGGACTTTTTAAAGAACTTTCACTATTCATTACCGCAAGACCTGGATCAAAGCTACTCCAGCCTATTGGGATACTGTTAAAATCACAAATAGTTAACTTAAAAATAGTAAATCGTAATCTGATGATTATTTGTCTGTATGTATATAGTATTTGATAACTTGTAGTAGGTATATTTGTGTAAAGTAATCTTTCCAATTTTGAAAAGAAATAAGGGCCCTTCTTAAAAAAAAAAAATTAATAAATAAATAAAATTAATTCAAGAAAATATTGAAAGCGCTTTCCACGAAAACAAATTTTATTCAGATCATTTTACAGTTCAGTATATTGACCATGCTACCTACTTGAGTGTAGGCTCTGTTTTTTTTTTATAATTAATTGAGTATAGGTATCTAAGGTTGATTTCCTGTGGGAATATTTTTGAAGCGAAATCGCTGAACTAGCCTACCAGGTATATATATTTTGTGTATAGGTATAAGGTTGATTATCTGTTAGAATGTTTTGAAGCGTTAACGCTGAACTAGATTGTGTGTAAGAATTTTTCGAAGCGAAATCGCTGAACTAGCCTACCTTAATATTTATATGTATATTATTTGTGTTTTCAGCTGAACTATTATTAGATTAAGTCATGGTTTCTTATTTGTGTTTGTACTCCTTCAGAAATGTGAAATGTTATTGATGTAGGTATTGAAATTTGACAACATTATAGGATTGAAGGATAAAATATTGTTTTCATTGTGGAACCTGGTCTTAGATTAACAACCATCCATCATACTTGCTTACCATTGGTTCCTTGTTACCACTGATACACCAAGCAACTTATAACAAGGTGGCGCCCTCTCAAAAGTTATGGAATATTCTCTCCATCACACTTAGAACTCTAGAGCTCATGTTAGAAAATTTTGACCCACCCCTACTCTACCAAGAATTTCAGAATGAAAATTTGCAACGAGCTAGTTAGACTACAAAGTGGTTGTTAGTGTATCCTATGAACATGCAGGTCATCAATGGCCGTTTTGCTACTTTTTGTTAAAAATAACCTTCCTCTCTATATCCCTTAGAGATTTTAAAAAAACAACGATATATTGTTGCATAGGCCACGAAGCCACGAGGACACGATGGGCCTTTTTAAGGTAAACATTTTTTTTTTAACTTAACAATGCTCTCAAATGAGAGTATTATAATGCTATGTATTATTATACCTACTTTTTGGTTGATATTTAAGAGTTTACCCTATAGGCTATCATAAATTGTTCATAAAAGATCAATTAAGCATGTAAGAATTGTTTTTTATACACCAAAGTCATGAGTCCAGTAAATAACCGATGTCATGCCAGTGAATGACCAGTCCTATGCCAGTGAATGACCGTCTTCAGAAGGTTTAGTAAATCACTTATAAAATCAGTAATATAAAAAAAAAACGGGGATTTATATTGTTAAAAAATTTTAACAAGGTCTAAAAGAAAAAGCCTAATGCTATATAATCACATTACCAGTATCAGAAGTATATCACATTTTACATGATATGTAAAATAAAAACATAGGTAGGCCTAGTTAGCTAACAGAAAAACAAGAAAAACGTCTTTAAGTGCCAAGAGGATATTCGATCGGGATAAATCGTAACTCTGGAATGAATAAAACACCAATCAAGGTAAATTATGAATGAGAGTGAAGTAAATAAACTCATACCATCTCCTATGATGTGAATGATATTGTGTAGAATGAACTCGTCATTAACATTTATAACCTCAGTGTCCTTTATCCATACTATGAAACAGTTCAAACAACTACAAAAATATTAACAGAACTATACCATAAGATCTTAAAAATTTAAATGAAATAAAAAACTAAGTTCAATTCTACTTTCTTTAACACTAATCACAGCTATTAGAAGTGGATAAAACTAAAATGCCACAATAAATTAGGTTAATTTCACTGACACACAACTATGATATTTATATGGTAGGAATAACCTTAGAAAACTAAATTTTTACTCTAACAGCTGATGATTAAATAAATTGCAGACAAATGTAAACAAAAACCCAAAACAAATTTTTCTTCCTATACAAACTCCATGCTAACTTTCACCTTCTGTGGGGCGGGGCCCATTAGGAATTTTGTAAAATCCTTCTTATTGTCTGCCTACGCTATGAGAGGAATGTGTATGCAAAATCTCATACTGCTAGGTGCTATGGTTTGGCCTATGCGTTGATCGGAATTTTGCATTTATATATTAAGATGATTTAGAGTGAAACGGTCATTCATAGGCAGCGGTAATTCACTGGGCAAGTCACCCTAACATAATAAAAGATAAATCAGATAAAAAAGTGTATTATTCCATTAACAAAGAATAAATACCCCCGCCGCAGCAAACCTGCAGACTAAGCGAATTTCCATATACACAGCTGGAATTCCACTAAATTATTCCCTTAAAATTGTCAGATTTATTTCCTATTTAAACATCATTAATATTAATGAGTACTTAGGTTTGCTGCCACAGGGAAGAAAATAGGGGGTTTTTATTGAAATATATAATAGCTCAGTATGAAGCTAACAAAATTTCAAAATTTCATTAATATAATGTCCATACACAAGCAAACTACAACACTGTATTTATTCTCCATAAGAATAACATGGTAATTTTAAATTTACATTATTTTGTGATTTTTCCGTAACCGTTAGGCATGCAACAATGCTTCAATATACTGAATTATTTGTTTTTTGAGCTCTACAAAATGGTTTAGAAAGAAATTGCAAAATTTTATGTTTTCAGGGTGAAAAATTAGAAAAACCCATTTTTACCCCATAAAACCCCCCATAAACCCCTGTTCCCATAGTCCGATCATGCTGGTTCGCGAACTCGTTAGAATAAATGTAGGTTTACTCGTTTACACCAAATTTCATCAAAATCGGATGATTTTTCCTCGAGTTATCGCGCTAACGGACACATATATAAATATATAACATTAACAATAAACATTAACATTAACATAAATAAGCTATTACCGTAGGTCTCATGGTAAGACCTGGACCCGGGACCGATTTAGTTTTTCGTTTTGAGGTTCCCAGAGGCCAAAAACACCATCCGTTCAAATTCATATATATTTTATATATGAATTTGAACGGATGGTGTTTTTGGCCTCTGGGGACCTCAAAACGAAAACCTAAATCGGTCCCGGGTCCAGGTCTTACCATGAGACCTACGGTAATAGCTTATTCCCTATATGGGAAATTCGCTAAAACTAACTTAAGCGATAACAAATCAAAGAATAAAAATCATATGATCAGCTGGTAGTTAAAATTCAGTCTATTAGAAAATTATAACAACTTATTTTTCCTGGAACGTGTTAAGCCGCAACGCAGTTAATCCAATTACAGAATCAGGAGTAGAGTGGAGTTAGTTTAACCCTCCAAGTGTCCATAGTTATGGTATTAATGTCCGCCCATTTACTGCGTAATTGCAGGGTTTTATTAAAATGTATCTTAGAAACATAAAAAAATGTAAAGTATACTGTTTTATATATCATTTTGTTTGGGAAATTATGGGCTTCAATGTAATTTATAAAACATTACAAAAAAAATTTTCAACAATTATTGTGGGTTTAACATTTCTCAAAAATTATAAAATAAATGAAAAAAAAATTATGTTTGCGCTCAATAAATTTGTATAGTTTATAAGTCTACAAATATTTTAAAATATCCACTTTGTTCTAAATGTTATAAGGATTACAAAAATATAATAATATAAGGAAGTAAATTTGCAAATAAATAAGTTATAGGTGAAAAACAGATTTTGTACATTTAGCGTTAGCTAAGAATGCATAGCCTAACCATAGCTAGGAACCTGGCCGATAATTTACATCAATACCTACTTCTTCAGGATCATCAACCAGCCCTTCGAAATCACTTAAATCTTTTTATAATGCACCACTACTTTTTATTTTTAACACTAAAACAATGATAAACGTAATAAAACACATCAGTCATCAGTGCGAGGTTAACCAAGTTGTTTACAAATATGCATGTCAGCTGTCTGCTACAATATTTTCGGAACTAAAATGAAAAGCGTCTAGAAACAGACATCAGGAGAAAGCTTAGAATCTGCCGAAAACAACGATACCAATCTCGATCCAGTTCAATCTGATTCAGTCAGTCCCAGAGCCTTCGCCGTAAATGATGTTTGTGTGCGACGCATAACACCACGGCGGGTGTGTTGTGCAACGATTACGCGACGCTTAACACTCGGAGGGTTAAATTTAAAACTGTGTCTTTGTTGAGCCTACTCTACTACTCATAGCCACTTTTCAGTGGCAAGGTTAAGCAGGGTTTTTCTGGGTGCGGAAGCAGAGAGCGGAGAGAGGAACGCGGAGAGCTGAAAAGAGATTAACATGGTGTTCCGCTCCGCTTCTAGGAAAACAGTAACATTAAATTACCTAAGACAAGTGGAGTCCGCTCTCCGCTCTCCACTTCCGCGCCTAGGAATACCCGGCTTTATAGAGTAGGGAACGTAGTAACCACAAACAAATGAGTCATCAGCAGAAATGAGCCTTCCCAGATTTTTGCCCCTCAGCAATGAAGTAAATATGAGTAATCTTCAATATGAACAGAAGAGAACAGAAATATGAGCAGTATGAGAGTAAACTCACCTACATCTGACCTTGGCATGACTGACCGTGTAATAAAATCAGAGGTCTCTAGTGTGTAATTTCACTAAAATGTATAATGTGTCCAACAAGCTTGTTTCGACAGTAAATGTTGAACTTTCCTCTTACAGAACAGAGTATAAATTTCTGAACCATGAGTTTTACTTTGCCAGCCTCTTCTGTGTTATTAGCATCATAGTCTCACACTTGACAGTTATGAGGAAATCAATTTGTATGGAAAGCATTTTGAGTTTTTTAAGTATATAGATTTTACTTACTTAAGTTTTTCTTGTCTTTTTTTACTGCATTGAGAATCTTTTCCTTTTTCATTTGCCACCTTAGTTTATTCCTTATTAAAGCAGTTGTTTGATCAATGCCATTCAGAGCTGAAAAACAAGTGTCTCTATCATTGTTGGCTCAACTCTATTAAAAGGCTTTAACAGTTTCTTAGAAACATCAGACAAATGGAAATTTGCTTAGCCTGCAGGATTGCTGCAGCATGTGTATTTTTAAACTAGCTGTGTGCCCGTTCTACGCACGGGGATCTTATAGTAGTCAGTTGAAACCTTCTTATATTAAGATTAAGAACAGCAGTTAGTTTGCATATTTGCAGATATGCTGGCAAAACTATTATATATAAACCTTCGCAAATACAGTATCTGACAGTTCAAGCCAAAATAAATGCTTCGCAATTAAATGTCACCCGGATCGTTATGGTCCATATGTCCAATGAATAAACTAAAAAATGTTTTATAGATCCATGAAGCGTAGCCCTAAAGTAGGCCTATAATTGAAAGTTACTTTCCACATCGGTTAACTTAAACGTATTTAAAGTACTACCTCAACCTCACCATTTAACACTTTATTCCGGTTGACATTTTCAGTATCAAAGGTGCTCTTGTCCATTCCGTGAAACACTGAGAAATAAGGACATTAATGCGTTACCAACAGACATACACACAACAATCCAAAAAAGGCCACGAACTATTGATACATAAACAATATAAAGGCGTAAACAATTCATGATGGTTTGCCCAACAAATGTTTTACTCAAATAGGTTATCATTTTCTTAGCATACCGGGTAAGCTAAGATTTGGAATCCAGACAGAAAAAGCAAAACTTATACAGAGTTAAGACATCACTTAAATTAAATACGGACGGCTCTAATAAATAAGGTGCAACACCAACGATAACTAATTTGTAAACTACAGTGATGTGTTGGTACCTACGTAAAAATGATTCTAGCAGCTACCAACGGTTCTAAGGAAAAGAACCAGTACCTACGTAAGAACCTACCTAAGAACTATAGTACATCCGACCAATTAAATACATTAATATCTAGTCCCGAGGTTATTGATCTCTTGCTTTTGGATTTTCTCGTAAAAAGTTATAGCGTAAACTTATCGGTGTCAGTTTGAAAAAAAAACAACCTTACCCAAACAACTTTTTGTTATTTAATAGATTATGCATTCTCTAAACAATGATTAGTATATCTATTAACATTAGAAGGAAATGTGACGAAAATAACACAATGTTGGGGTTTTGGTCATTTGTAGGCCATGTATTCTATGGAAAAGTACCGGTATCAAGGATCGTCGTCAAAAAGTTGTTATGAATAAATATGTAGGCTTACGTACCCAAGATATGAGCTATGGGCCTATTGGCTGTATGGTCCAGCGATTGCATCACACGGTGAGTAGAAACAGAAAGTGACACATTGGAAAAGCGAGTTTAGCACTTCCTCTGTTAAACCTCTGTTACAATCACCCACTGCAGTTGTGATTTTTTACTTTACACTTTACACAACCGCCATTGAAGTGCCGTCAATGAGTGGTAACCTTTTTTGTAAGCTATTGGCGACGATCATTTCAGTGTCCAGCCCTATACAACACTGATTCAAGGTCTTCTTTCTGGTTGTCAAAACTCAAGAAACATTTTATACTCAAAGAATTTCTGGTTCCGATTTGGACGATGTCTAGTTATTTAATTTCATTTACGGTTACACTATAAGACTATATTATTGCACTTGCGATTAATTAAATCCGTTTTAATCTCACTTGGTTGGGATTTGCTTTCAAAACGTGATTCGAAATGGTTGCGGTATTTGTAAACAACATTTGTAAACATATCATTGACAGCTAGAAAAAATAATCTTGATCCGAACAGCTGTTCGTTATTTCATAGACAATTATGTGATAAAAATTGAACGAAAATTTGACAAAAATCGCACAAAACTGTATTTTTGAACGTCTGTAATTTTATTTACAAAGTAGTGAGGCTATATTTAAATCACTAAAGACACTCTCGCCAATCCAGTGAATACATTAAAATGACTTGGATCTTGATAGGTACTCTGGTTTTCACGGAGAAGATTGCGTAAAATGCCATCTTGAGTGTTACAGACAAAGGGAAAGACAGACAGACAGACAGACAGACAGACAGACAGATATAGAGATAAGACTCGTTTCTGCTTCTTTAATGTATAAAACGTAAAAATAACCTAAAAGTATATAATTCTGAGCAAAGTACAGACAAAACTCTAATTTTATTTATATAGATTACAATTTAAAGCAATGTACTGTTAATGTTGTATAGAAATGTTTAAAATAAGTTAGTAAATAAAATTTAAGCTTAATAGAAACACTAATGGTGTTCTAGAGTTAATTGTAATACCTGACTCTGAATTAACATTTTCTCCAGACTCCAGAAGATCCATTCTAGTAAATTCTCCTGAGAACTGTTCAATATAGTTACGTAGAGGCGTTGTCTTACCAAGGTTGACTTCTCAAAACAACTTTTTATGGAGCTTTGCAGTAGTATAGTAATTTGGAAAAAGCTTGTTATTGAGATGTTTAACTTGATAGAAACAGGAGTTTTATAGAGGTTAATTTAATATTGCCTTTTAAGGTGTTTTCCAGAAAAATTGAAAAAGGCACTAGTAATAAGTTAATGAGGTTGTTGTGTTATTGAGGGTTTAGTAAACAAGGTTCTGCTGTAATGTTGCGTTCATCTCTATGTAGTCGCCCATAATAGTTTTGGATTACCAATTTTGTTATTGTTTTTAGGATAGGCTAAGTGTGTTTCATCTAAGAAATAGCTTCAAACTGTTTTACCTTCAAAAGTTAAGTCAGTAAGTTTAGTTATCGGTATTGGTAAAGATGATTCCCATAAGACATTTTTTGAGAAGTGGTCATTTGTAAAGTCGTTGTCTTCTTCAAAAGGAAATGACCTTTGTAGATTCATACATGGCAATACATGATGAGGTAGTTTTGATAAATAGTCTTTTGTTAGTGGTCCAACACAATGGCCTGCTATTTCTAGATCCATGACTGCAAATCTCTTATTAAAGAAACATATTTTTTCCTGAAACAATAAAAACATTCTTTTAGTTCTAAAATGAGTTACCACAAAATGAAAAATGTACGGTGCAATAGAGCACGAGGTGAAGGCATTAACCCTCGAGGAGGCGCTTCACCAGTAGGCCTAACACAGGAGCGGACGCATGCGGAGTTTTATTCCGCAACACTAAATAGCATAAATTTTACCCATTTTACTTGCTGTTATAACGAAATATTGTATGTAAATGTTGAATAACCTAATCAGAAACCTAATTTCTTTGTTAATAACATTATTCATTTAAATTAATATGAGTAGCCTAATATTCCAAATAAACATATTGAGCAATTTTCTAGTATAATACCTTAAAAAAGGTATCACTGTGGGTGTTACGAGAGAGGGCGCGAGCAGAGTTTTGCTCCCCAATTATACATATGCATGCAAACAAAATATATTAGATAATAATTATAAATGAAACAATACATTTAATCATGTTTATAATTTGGTATGTATAAAATATACACACAGTTTGACAAGAGCGAAAGAAAAAATAAACTCTACACTACGCGATAGGGCGCACACAGAGAAAACCTCCACAAACTGACACCGCGTCACTGAATCGCAACTGACAACCAAATAAGGAGGAATTTGAGGGTAAAAGTAGCTTAGGGGCATTCCCGGGATGAGGTGCGTGAAGTATGGAGCCGGAAACGACTGCCGACACCCATTAGGCCTATGCATAATTTATATTCAAAACAACAACTACACAAGTGCGGAGTAGCTCGAGGGTTAAAAACAAATACTATCCATAACATTTATAATGACATTCGAGATGTCAGGAACGTTTCTTAGCTTTTTGGTAATAGGTGAAATAATACTATTATCCTGTAGCTGGACCACTGAGGTAACTTGAAATACTAGGGAGGCAGGTAACCTGCCTGTCTACTGACCTCGTGTAGACAAAGCTTAAAGGCAGTCCTGCTTCACTAGAGTGTAAAAGAGGGCTATAAGGGCTAGATAATTAAAACAAATAGGCTATAAAGCAAAATTGCCATCGTAACTTTTTAAGTTACATTTTTAATCAATTTTATTATTAGATGAATATGAAGGCCAACTTACATGTAAAAACTGAAATCTTGATTGTAAACATAAACAAATAATCGTGCATCACCATTGTTAGACTAGGCCTTGTTTAGGTTAAGTTCCACCTTTGAATCCACAGGTCCTAGTTAATTAGTAAGAGTGTGTAGATTGTATTATAGATCTATAGAATATTGTAGATTTGGAATAGTATTGATATGTTACATGTATAAATGCTTTAGTTTATAGTTTATTGAGCAGCTAACCGCACTCAGAACTTAGTACTTAACCCTTAACTTAGACTGCCCACTGGCCACTCCATTAGTGTAGTGCCCACCGGAGATTTTACGATTTAGGTGTAACTTATTTGATTTTTGATCAGGATTTAGGTTAGGATTGCAGAATTGAACATTGATAATTATAGTAAGATTATAGTGTAACCTAAACCTACTACACAACAAACAAACATAAAACCAAACAAAACTAGTGTTCTCGACTGTTCTGTTTCAAACAGGAAAACATACACTTAAAACTTTTTCTTTTAAATTTCTTTCCATGTAGTTCGCTTTGGATAGCTGGCTTGACTAAGCAGTCATGCAACTATAACACTAATTAATTTTCATAAGGTTAAGACATAAATTATCATAGACATAGATATTCCCTAGTCTATGTATGGTCTATGAATGGTTGAGGAAATAAGTTAATATCTGATATTATAATATACTTTTTTGATTAGTTTCGTTCAATGATTCACACATCAGCGACTTCAATAGAATAAGAGCCTAGAACCTAGATATGCAACAGGAATCCATCCACAAAATTGTGTAGCCTTTGAATGAAATGCATTTATTTACATTATGCAAAAAAGATCCAGCCAAAAACAAAAGTAAAAACTTTCTTTGATCCAACCCACATACAGTTATTGTTTAACTACTTTCAACAGTTTGTAACAAGGATCCAGTTGGCTGGATCTTATTTTGCAATCGGCTGATAAGATACTGTAGTAGGATTATTACCACGGCTGCTTTTAACTCCAGGCCGCGGCCTTCGAAGTGGCAACGTCGCAAGTGGGGTTGTAACAGCTGTTTTGTTTGGAAGCAGCTAATATTATTTATGTACTAGCTGTAACCCGCGGGCTTTGCCCCGTTTAACTTCTTAATTTTCAAGATTATCTCGTTCGCATGGCTCAATCACGTCCTGGTTGAAGTTTGTTCGCTACGCTCACTCACCTTTAGGTTGGAGCTCGTTCGCTACGCTAACTCGCCTCCAGGTTGAAGTTCGTTCGCTACGCTCACTCACCTTTTGGTTGCAAATTAGCTGTTGTCATAAATGTAAAAGAAATAATAGTGTTGCACCCTGTTGGTAATCCTTGTAACTTTAATGCTATTGAACATCATAGAACAGAACCAACTTGTTTAATTGAAACAGCTGTTAAGATTCAATAATTCCATTTCTCATAAGGTTAACATGGGAAACTCCAGAGCCACTGGGGCGGAGCCCGAAAGGATTTTTGAATTAAGAATATGCCTATATGTTAATCGGGAATGTGAGCTATCATCATGCCAAATTTCAGCCCAATCCGACCAGTATTTTTCGCGTTCACTTGTCACAAACATACATCCATACATCCATACATCCAAACTTTCTCATTTATAATATTAGTAGGATTTACGAAAGATTGGTTACTGGACTATGACAATATTGACTTCGCTTAAAATGTACAGATATAGATTTGTAATTCATATTGTTTTGGTTTTCAATTCTGTATTTTCAATATTTCAATAAATTTATGTTCATAAATTTAAAATTAAATCAATAAAGTGCGAATTAATGAGCTGATGTCACCTGTCTGCCATGTTTTCTTATGGGACGGGACCACTGAGCTATAATTCTAACTGGAGGTAGCACTGAATGTCAAAGATGCGTGTCGCCAGCCGCCATGTTTGCGTGAGGTGGGTGTCCATAAGAAGCCATGTTATTGCTTTGACAAAAAAACTCACTGCTATACAATCTAGTTATAAGAAGCCATGTTATTGCTATGGTAAGAAAACTTACTGCTATACCAACCTAACAAAATCAGCGACTCGCTTTTGACAGACTTCTGCCATGGCAGTGCTACCTCCAGTTATAATTTTAGCTCAGTGGACGGGACTGTCTCTTCAGTCTGTCTCTAAACAACACCACTTGCGACGTTGCCAATTCTACCAGGCCGTGGCCTAGGATTGCAGTATTTGTGAGTGAAAATTTTGAAACGTACGCTTCAATGTCCCTGGCCTTTTATTTCGTAGATACTGTATTTTGCAGTACATTATTAAATTTTTAATATTTTTGGGACGGGGACAACGTGTTACAAACATTTATTTGGTTTTAAATAGGTTCCTAGGTATTCTTCCGTATTTTTATGTCTCGAAATTTACGACCATCACACGTGTCCCTTAAGGTACATTTTTCAAGACGAAAATTCCAGAACATTAGCTCGAGCCACAATTGTTAAAAAAGCCAGGAATGTAGCAGGTAGTCGATTTGACAGGGCTGAACATGTCAAACATAGGTCACTGAGGAAAGTAGCTACACGCATTAGAGATAAAGTCGCGGTGAACCATGCCGTGATTTGCAAAGCTGATAAAGGAAACTCGATAGTTATTCTTCCCAAGCGTGACTACTTAAACAAAGTTTACGCATTTTTCGAGGCTAACGACATAAACCAAATGAGCAAAGACCCGACAGCTAAATATTCTAAAGAAATTAATAAACAAATTAATGCTAGCACAAAGCTACTGACAAAAACTGAGATGAAAAGTCTAAAAGTAACCAACCCACAGGCTCCTATTTTTAGAGGGTTGCCCAAAATTCATAAGCCGGACATACCCATAAGGCCACTTGTAAATTTCATTCCATCCCCAGGATACAAAGTTGCAAAGAAATTGGACTCCATAATACGACACGAGGTCAAGTTTGACAAAAGTTCTAGTCTAAAAAATAGTACTGATCTTGTAAATATGATAAATCATGTCACACTAAAAGATAGTTACATTCTAGCATCATTCGATGTAGTTAATCTGTACACAAATGTACCAGTAAATGAATCCCTTTCAATACTCGAAAAGAACTTATTAACAAACTCATCTTTATGCAAAGAAGCAGTAACCAACCTCATAAGACTCACCGAAACTATTATGAAACAGAATTATTTCCAGTTTGAAGACAAAATATTTTTACAAAAAGAAGGGTTAGCGATGGGTTCTCCACTATCATCCATATTAGCAGAGATATATTTAAACGACCTTGAGAATAAACATTTATGGTCTGATAAAAACCGCCTGAGAGAAAAAATGGTATTTTATCATCGTTATGTGGACGACACTATTGTCCTGTTTAATGGCACAAAGCGACAGTTGGGAATGCTACTAACTTACATGAACAGCTTACATAAAAACATAAAGTTTACTCTCGAAACCGAAAGCAATAAAACACTGAATTTTCTAGACCTTAGTATCTCAAGATGTTCTGATAAAAACAAACTCGTTTTTAAAATCTATAGAAAACCTACAACCACACACCAGACCATCCATAACAGTTCACACCATCCACAAAACCAGAAATTGGCAGCTTATCACAGTTTTGTTAATAGATTACTATCAATCCCGATGTCTGAAGAAAACTACAACGAAGAGGTCAATACCATTAAATATATTGCAATAGCTAACGGTTACAGGAGCAATATCATCGACAAACTAATCTTGAAACATAAGAACAAAAATAGCCGCATAAAAACAACCTTAGACAGACCGAAATACGTTTCCACCGAATTTGGCAGCTATCTCAACCATACATTAAGCAGAGAAATGTCTAAAAACCAAGTTATCGTCTCATTTAAAACTTCAAATAAACTTTCATCAGTATTAAAAGATAAGAAAACAAAACGTGACGACCAAACAGAAAATTCAGGTGTATACAAACTGAATTGTGACAGTTGTCCAAGCTTTTATATTGGTCAGACTTCACGGTCATTTAAAACACGTTTTAAAGAACATCTCCCGAAACCATCTGTTAACCAACCTAACTCCGCATTTGCTGAACATTTAATTAATAACAACCATGAATATACAGATTTTAACACCAATCTAGAAGTTCTACGATCCCATAAAGGAAGAGGAAGGTTATTAGATACTATTGAGGAATACGAAATTTACAAGGCCGGCAAAAAACACCCCCAACACATCCTAAATGATAAATCCTCATTTGAATCCAATATAATTTATGAGACAGCTTTAAACATCGACGAAATATTATCAACAGCTGATAACTCGAGGGGGAAGGTGGGGAGAGGAAGACATGGCGTCAGTCTAGACCTACACCCTGTACCCGCCGCTGTGTTGTAAATTAGTTGTGTGACCATGCATTTTATCGTTTTTTGTTTGTGTACGTGTTATATGTTATGTGTTACGTGTGTTTCAAGACTCATGACGACCTCCTAGGAGCGATTTTTACGTTCAGCTTGACAATGATGCCATAGACATCGAAACCGGTCGCACTAATGACGACTTAAGGATTACTTGGACAGAATCAAGGTAACTTAACCTCTTGTATACAATTCATGAAGTAATCCGGAAGGCAATACACAAGATGAATATAGAGTGATTCTCGTTAAACATAAATTCCAGACCGTAACATTGTCCCTGGCCATAAAGTTTATGATTTGGATCTTAAACAATTCAAAAATTGATATTTCATCATATTCCAAGGTTTTATACACACAAGAAGGACGCCTCTTAAAAAACATTAAGGTTTTTCATATATCGGGAACGTTTGTTCGGAGTTATACAAATAACTCAACGAGATTTTTTAAAGCTTTTTAATTTTTTTTAGTTTTTCGATTTTTTTTTTAGAAAGACCAAATTTACCAAAGGCTTAGTGAGCCGTTTGTTGAAAACTGCCCCTAAAACCTAATGTATTTACAGCAAAACATATTTATAAAAATAACATTATTAACTATTTTAAATATTCATTATTTAATTTATACTTACGTTATGGTCGTTACAGAATTTCGTGTTTTTCCCATTAAAGACGCTGTATTAAAAAAAAACCAACGACATTGCTTTACCATGGACATTTTATAAAATTTCAAATGTCATTGAAATAAAAAAAATTAAAACGTTTCGAAATAAGAAAAAAAGTGTTATAAAGTGCTTTCTACTTTCTCCCCCTATACCTTAGCATATGGAGAAAGTATTGTCTTCGTCAAAATTTTCGAGTTTGAGTTTTGAGTGGATATATCGGTTTTGGGCACCCTGTACCTAAAAAAGTGGTTTTCGAAGTGATATTAAAAATTTAAAACGAAATAATAAAATATTAATTAGGCCTACTGTTTAAATTCAATGAAGTAAATTGATTAAATAAAAAAAATATAGAAATTTAACTTCTGGAACCTTAAATTATTTATCCCTGAGTAAGCGAGCAGGACTAAAATTTTTAGTTTAATAAACTACAAATTTAACATAGGCCTACTGATGGATTTGTTGCACTACACTCTTCACTGAAGAATTTTAATCTGCCTTTAAAAGCAACAGGCCATTTTAAAAAGAACACTACACCCACGACCGAAAACTTCAACTCCCGAACGCGGTGACCGGACCGAAGACTTTCTGGAGAGTGTCCACTGTTGGTCTATGTTGGAATTGACGTCCTCCTATCAGCCTATAGAGACAGCCAATCAGAGGGTTTGATTGTTGGATAATCTTCTCTGATTGGTTGAGACAGTCCACGTGGACTTGATGTGGCGATGTCAAAAAGTTCACAGCTTGTCCTTGAGGAGTATGTTTTATGATATTATAATATTATATTTTATAATATTATAATATTATAATAGTCCTTGAGGAGTATGTTTTATCCATGCTTCAGGCTAGACCTAGGGGCTACGGCGGCATTACCATTTATTATCTGCTTCCAAACAAAACAGCTGTTGCAGCCCTACTTGCAACGTTGTCACTTTGAAGGCCGTGGTCTGGAGTTAAATGCGGCCACGAGTGGAGGTTGTGCGTCCTGCGTACTAAATTTAATAAACGAAAAAAAAACATTTGCACGCTATATTTTTTATTAAAACAGTTTTAAAACTGTACAGAGTAACCAAGCAGCAAAAAAATGTAATAAACAAAATCTTCATACATTTTCATATTTGGGGTAAATGACTCTCTTATTGTAAATGGCTGTTACCGTCAAATAAATCTATACTATTATAAATAAGTAAATAAAAAATAATTATACAGTATATCATATTGTCATGCACAGTATTATTTTTAGGTTCAGCTTGTACTCCTGTCTGTGCTGTCATTCATTTCTTCTTCTTCTCGTTCTTATACCTATTTTCTACTTCTTTCTGTTTGTTTTGTTTACATTAATTTTTTACTAATCAAATCAAAATTTTACAAGTTAAAACTTAGTGCTTTTATATTCGGTAGATATGAAATTTCTTTCGTTTTTTAATAATGTGAAAAACAATGTAAATTTTATAAAACGATCGAATTATTTTAGCGTACGATTTTTACCAACTTTTAACCAAACAAATCACGACAATTTAAAACATTTTAAATCTCAGAGAAGGAGTGATGAAGGTTATTTTGGAAGTAGGCCTAGTGGGTCTTCGAAATTAAAAATTGGCGTTGGTATTGGAGTTCTAAGTGGAGTAGGAATTTTAATATTACTGGAAAAATGGAATAAAAACCACGGCTGCTCATTGGACTTCTTAAAAAGTTGTAGATTCCCCTCAGTCGCTGCGGCTAACCCCACTGACAACTCTTCTCCAAACAAGAACAGTTTAAGAAAACAATTTAACTTTATTGCTGATGTCGTTGATAAATGTGGATCATCATTAGTATACATTGAAATACAAGATTCAAAAAGGTAGGTTTAGCAAACTGACTGTTAAGCTTATGTTTGGATCAAAGTTCCTAGCCTAAATAAAATGAAAATGAAAGGCTAAGTGCCTACTTATTTTATAGGCTTCTATACCTAATTAGGCCTAGGCCTACTGTAGCCAATAGGCGTCCATCTTAGCTTGTCCATAAGGGTGGCTAGGTGTACAGAATGTTTATAATTTAAGGGCTGCACTTTACTTTAGGTCCTACACTCATTCAAATGAAAATATCGATCGATATATCGATTAATCGATTGTTTCATTCGAATGAGTGTAGGATCGAAGGTAAAGTGCAGTCAATGTACTAAGTTAACCCTCCGAGTGTCCATAGTTTAGGCCTTAATGTCCACCTATTTTTGGCCCCTTTGCAAGGTTTTATTAAAACGGATGTGAGAAGCTTAAAACAATGTTAATTCTAATGTTCTATATACCATTTTGTTTGGAAAATCATGGGCTTCAATATTATATATAAAACATAAGGAACATTTAAAAAAAAAAAATTTTTAGGTAAAAAAAAAATATAATTTCGAAAATTTTCAAAAAAAAAATAAGTTCGCGCTCAATGAAATTGTATAAATTATAGGCCTATAAATATTTGAAAATAGCCACTTTGTTCTAAATTTAATGAGGATTACAAATATATAATCATATAGCGAGGTAAGTTATCAAATAAATAAGTTATGAGCGAAAAACGGATTTCAGTACATAGCGTTTAGCTAAGAATGCATAGCCTAACCATAGCTAGGAATCTGGCTGATAATTTACATCAATATCACTACCTACTTCTTCAGGATCATCAACCAGCACTTCAAAACCACTTAAATCTTCTTATAATGCACCACGTATATCACTACTTTTGATTTTTAACACTAAAACAATGATATACGTAATAAAACACATCAGTCATCGGTTCGGGGGAACCGAGCTGTTTACAAATACACGCACGTCAGCTGTCTGCTACAATATTTTCGGAACTAAAATGAATAGCGCCTAGAGACAGACCTCTGGAGAAAGCTTAGAATATTACGGAAAGAACGATACCTAACTCGATCCAGTTCAATCCGATTCAGTCAGTCATAGAGCCTTCGCCGTAAACGATGTTTGTGCGTCTTAAACTCGACGCGTGACCCTACACAAAGTGTGTTGTGCGTCTTAAACTCGACGCGTGACACTCGGAGGGTTAAGTAACTAATTTAAATGTTTGATGTTACAGTACAGAATTTTGTAGGTAGCCAATCTGCTTGGTCAATTTTATGTTAACTTATTAACTTGCAAAATCTTTAAATCATTTAAGATTTTAACGTTGGGTCATTTGGTTAACGTTAGGTCTCATAGTGGGGACTGGAGCCCCTTCAACCCATATTGATGAACGCCCATAACTGTAGCATTTTTTCAAAAGAGCTAGAGACTGGGCTAGGAGGCATTGTTCCTGCGGAAATGCGCTGAGAAGTTGGGTATAGAGGAACTTTTAATGGACCACTTAAGTTGTGTCTTACATCTTACATCGGGCGTCTTCTCCAAAATCAGCCGATCAGGGAATCGTAACATTTTCATCTGTATCAGGGTCTTCTTTCTTCATGAGGCGAGCTGTGAGAAAGTGTGGTTAGACACAATGTCTGAGATTTTGTAGTAGGCCCTAGGGCCTATCAGTCAGTGTTTGGAAGTAGCGCGCTACAAGTAGCGACACTACAGTAGCGCGCTACTTTTTTGAAGCGTTAGCTGTAGCTACGCTACTTTTTTTTTTAAGATTTTGTAGCTTTAGCTGTAGCTAGCTACATTTTAAAAGTAGTTGTAGCGGAATTTTAGCTACTTTTCTCGCTACATTAACATTAATTGAGATAGTGTTTTTATCACAACCTTACGTGAAACAGCATCTTTCAAACTGAGATTTTCAAACAAATTAGGCCTACTTTCTTGGCTTCATACAGCTGGTCGCAGCCGTTTAATTTCCTATTGCAACGTTGCGTGGACATGGAGGCTATTATCTGAGTGTTATCCACATTTTTGGCTCTTCAAAAAACGCCCTACTTTCAAAATTTGGTAAATGTTTTCAACATTTTTAACGGTTTTCGCCATGTTTTCTTGCCTAAATAATTTTTGTACAAATATTGTTAATGTTTTGTATTCTCCTTACTTTACTTTAAATTTTACACACTACATGTTTTTTCGTAACTTTACTCTTTGACCCCCAAAACTTATTTTTAATGTCGAAATTTGAAAGTTTTTACGAGCCCCATGTTATTCTTATGGAGAATAACATTGAAAGTGGCCGACTTTGGTGTGCTCATCTGAAAGGCTTAGAAACGTGATAGAGACTTGAAATTTGGCAGTAACGTAGTATGGGATCTTAAATTAACAGTGAAATTTGCAAAATTCCCATTTTCAAATTTTAACCACCCCAAAAATCCAAAATGGCGGAACTCTCTCCTTTTAAGCCTTTTTTTTTTGTTTTCGCTACTTTTTCCTACCTTTGCGATTTTTTTGCAATTATTATTAATGCTTTGTATTTTCCTTAGTTTACCTTAAATTCTACACTGTACATGCTTTTTCGTAACTTTACTCCTTAACCCCTAAAACTTAAGTTTAATGTCAAAATGTGAAATATGTTTACGAGCTCCATAACATTTACAAAGTTTTAAAAGGACTCTTTACATGTTATATGGGCACAAGGGTATTGAAACTATACACACTTTACTGTATTAGAGCTAATACCAAGGTGAATATAAAATGAACCATATAAAAATCCCCCTCCCCCCCTCCAAAATCGATTTCTCCTTATATCTTTCCTATAGTCACTACGGGTGCATCGGTCTATATCACGTTTACCCCCTTCTAGATTAGCTGGAGATTGAAATTTGGCACCATTGTAGATCTTGAGCTCTCATTTAAAACTGACATCTACAATAATAACCCCCCCCCCCCCAAATATCGAATTTCTCCCCCCCCCCCAAATGTTATTCTTACAGGTGCATCGGTCTAAATCACGTTTACCCATTTTTAGATTAGTTGGAGATACTGAAATTTGGCCCGATTGTTGGTCTTGCACCCTTTTCGGAAATTGACTTTTGAAAATAATAATAACCCCCTTCCAAAATATTGACTTCCCCAATGTCATTCCTACAAGTGCACAAGTGCATCAGTCTAAATCACGGTTACCCACTTCTACATAAACTGGACATCTGAAATTTGGAACGCTTGTAGGTCTTTAGGTCTTGCGTCCTTCTTGAAAAGTGCGTTTTACAATAACAACCCCCCCCCCCCCCCCCCCCGAAATATAAATATTTCCTGTCCCTCAAACAAACTAGACAATTTTTTAAAAGTTAAACTTTCCTATAATAACCCTTTTTAAGAATTCCGCCCCCAACCTTTTCTTATGGGAAATAAATTTTTAAGCTTCTGACTTTTTTTATACGGAACAGAAGCCTTTTAAAAACTACTTTTCGGTAATAACCATCTTACAGTTATTTTTATTTGTATTGCCTTCTTGACTTCTTTACGCTTCTTGGTCTTGGCCTTTCACTCCCCCCCAAGTTTTGAATTCCCCCCTTTTATTTTTATAGGGAATAAGTTTGAAAGGGGCTGTTAGATATATGTTACTAGAGATTTTAAATTTGCCAAGGATGTATAACAATAATTCAACACCCCTCAATGGGGGACTGGGGCTAGACTCTAATCTACTAATGACGACTAACAGCTAGGGGGCCTGGGGATTGCTGTCAGATAAAATAAAATTTCTAGATGCAGACGACGTTTAACGTTACCGGTGACAAGAGAAGCTATTAAATGCTTGCTAGTGATTGACAGGGAAATTAGTAATCAATTTAGTTTCTTTATTTTATCGATAGTTCAAACTTGATGGGTTTTAATGGAAACCATCACTAAACCTTAAAATAGCCTACTGAGAAAGCTGGTCTATCAACCTTTGCTTCAGCTGTTGATTGTGGTTCATCATCACAAGTCCTTCCTTGGTTAGATTAAACGAAGATTTTTCAAAGGCTTAGTAAATTTCCTGATGAGATTTAAGACATGCCTAGACTATGTAATAATTGTAAGGAAAAAATCTCCATATAACATGAAACTTACATATTGGAAAAATAGCTTAGTTTGCTCCTGCTAACAGCTCTTGTCAAGGACTATTCCTAGGCTATGCTATTGGATTAATACAATAAATAGGAAATATATATTCAATTAATAGGAAATAGGAATACAGTATATCTGTTTAGTCCTTGTAAGAACAAGCCTACTATTGCCAACTCGTTACATAGCCAAGTAGGCCTACATGTTTTTTTTACTTTACAATTTTCAACATGTTTAAATTAAAAAGCCGATTTCAGGATAAGTTGCTGAATACTGTTTTCTGCACCAACCTCTGTTGAAGCACAATTTCCCCTACGCCTGGAAAACACCTTGCACCAGCAGACTGCCTTTCAAGATGCCCCATTCCAAGCAAGGAAACATATGACATGGAAGAAGAAATTGAATGTTCAAAATGTGGTTGAAAACATACCTACAACTGATGAAAACATAAACAGGTTACGGGAAGCTCAACAATCAGATCCCATCTTCAGAAAGATTGCAGTATACTGTCATAATGAATGGCCAGAAAAATCACAACTTCCATCTCAACTAGTCCCTTACTTCTCAGTTAAAGATGAGATATCACTGATGGACAACTTACTTTTACGCAATTCTAGAATAATAGTACCATCAAGTCTTTGTCAAGAAATGCTTCATAGAATACACGTCGGTCATCTAGGAGCCACCAAATGTCGAGAAAAGGCTAGATTCAGTTTATGGTGGCCAGGAATGGCATCAGATATAAATATGATGGTAGCTTCATGCCCAACATGCATCAAACACAGAGAAAATCGAAATGAGCCGATCATTCCTTCCGAGTTTCCGAAACGTCCATGGGAAAAGGCAGCAATGGATTTGTTCAAGCTCGATGGTAAATGGTTCATTGTTATAACAGATCAGTTCTCAAGGTATTTTGAGATTGCTACCCTACAATCGCTCACTGCCTCTGAAGTAATTGAGAAATGCAAGTCAACGTTATCTCGCCACGGTATTCCTGAAGTCTTATACTCAGACAGTGGAACGCAGTTCGGCATCACTAGTGCTGAATTCAGAAAATTTGCCAAAGAGTACAACTTTTTATGCAAAACAAGCAGTCTTCAGTTTCATCAGAGCAATGGCTCAGCCGAAGCAGCTGTCAAAATTGCAAAAGCTGTTCTAAAGAAGAACAAAGGAGATCCATATTTAGCTTTGTTGTCTTACAGGAACTCTCCACTTGCCAACGGTTACAGTCCAGCTCAGTTATTATACGGACGTAGACTACGGGACAATTTGCCTACCTTACCATGTCATCTGGAGAAAAAGCCAGACTTCAGTCATCTCCGAGAGAAGGAGAATCATTATAGACAAAACTACAAACGAAATTATGATCGACGACATGGTGCTCGGCCCTTATCAGATGGCTAAACCTTCAAATAGCCTACTGAGAAAGTGTAAAGGAGTCTAATGCTGCATTTTACACTGGTTAAAAACATAAAACTTTCTCACAACCTAACTCTAACCGTGTGAAATCAACATCAAGCATAATTACCGTCAGTGATGTTGGAGCTGAAAATAAGAAAAAGAAATGGAGACCTAAATGCTTTTCATGTAACCAGCTTGGACACATGAAGAGGGATTGTCCTAATGTCAAACAGTCACTAAAACCTGGAAGTGCTTTTGTTGGACATTGTGATCGCTCACAAGAATGCATCGAAGAATGTAATTGGATTGCAGATTCTGGAGCTACGCAGCACATGAACAGATCATGGTTTGTGATCTACAAGGCATTTTCAACAGTTAAGCATGTTGGAGTTGGAAACGGTCAAACCATGGAAGCACTCGGCAAGGGAAACATAATTGTAGAGATGATTGTGGGAGGAAAATGTCAGAAAAATCATTTGGAAGATGTTTGGTACGTTCCTGAAGTAGGCAAGAACTTATTTTCAATTTCCTCTACGTTGGACAAAGGTATAATTTCTACTTTCAGCAAGGACAAATGTAATTTTTTCAAGAATGGTGTTTTGGTTGCTCAATCACATAGAAAGAATGGATTTTTCATTATGAATATGAAAGTTATTCCTATTAAAGATGCTGAAGCTCAAATTGCTTTGAGAGATGATTTACAACTGTGGCATGAGAGATTAGGCCATCAAAATAAGCGTTATGTTTTGACATACCTTAAGAAAAATGGTATTGAATTCTCAAATTCAGGTACTAAGTCTGAGATATGTGACGCTTGTATTGTTGGCAAAATGCATCGGTTGAGTTTTGATACTCGCAAAGAACAAGTTAATCAACCTGGGGATCGCATAAATGCTGATGTTTGTGGCCCAATGCCTGTGTTATCAGTTGGTGGCAATTGATATTTGGTTGACTTCAAGGAGCCTGTGGAACAAAACAAAAAGTTTCCTACAACTGAAACCAACTCTTCAACAACTGCAAGTTTACCTGACGAAGAAGGACAGAGGTATAGTTTCAGAGATAGATCAAAATTGAAGCCTCCTGTGAAACTTGCTGATTGTGCCCTTTTGACATGTGTTGCAGAACCTACCAAGTATAAGGAAGCGGTGACATGCAAGGATTCTCATCATTGGGTCAAGGCAATGGATGAGGAAATAAAGGCACTTAGTCCAGTGTTCTGGTGTAATAAACGGCAGAAATGTGAAGCTTTGTCAACTACAGAATTTGAGTTGATTGCTGCAGATTGCTGCAAGTTTGGCTGTAGGGGAAGCGGTGTGGCTCAAGAGAATACTACAAGATGTAAGGATACATGAGCAGCAGTTTTCTTGTCTGAGTAAAGTGTCATTTTTTAGGGGAAGTGTTGAGATAAAAAATGATTTACTCAGTCCTGTAACAGCTGTATAATGTAAATCTGATTATTATAATGTTAGTTTGTTTAAGTTGTTATGTAAACAAACTATTAGTCTATTAAATGGTTCTTTAACAGTTCTTACTTTTCTTTTATCCCACTAGCAAAATCAGTTTATTACAACACTTATGACAGCCACCCTGATTAAACAACAAAATATAAACAGAAAATCAAAACAATAAACTGAAGAAATTCCAATCACATGTTTTATTTACAGCGTGGGGTTAGAGAAGTTTGCTCAATACATATCTTTGTTTGAGTTTTCCACCATGAGGCAAGCTCTAGTAAGTTATTGTTTTTCTGAAGGCCTACTACATTACTGTGAAAGTTTAAGAAAATTGTGTTATCCAGGGTAGAGGTTTTTACTGGAGCCCCGACAACACTATCAAATGGATCTGGATTCATTGTGAGCAGTGATGGTCTGATACTGACAAATGCTCACGTAGTGGTGTCCAAACCAGGCAGCAAGGTTCAAGTAAGTTGAAACTCATTATTGGTAATCTAAACAGTAACTTTGCAATCTTTTGTACTTTTCAAATGTTTAATCTTGCTTAATAAACAAATACCATTAGATGGCCACGATATTTTCATGACTTGTTGTAAAGCTTAATACTACTACATATTTTATACAATTCCTGTTCAGATATGCAGTTGAAAGAAGACAACGCTGGCACTCTCCTGTCAGGCTCCATCCCCTGCCATACACGGTCGAACATGTTGGCCGAGTTGGTTGGGTTGTTGGGTATCAGGTTGGAGGTTTGGATGCGTCCAAAACCCCAATCCAAATCGCACATGCACGGTTTGTTGACATACACAGGCAAACCGCAGATCGAGCCTGCTAGTATACAGTTTGGCAAAAACTTCTGTGCGCGTGGACGGATCGCTACTAAAACATTCGCCAGTTATTAGCAGAGCTGGGGGTTGGGGTGAGCGAGTCACACTGATTAGCAAGACACAAATTTAATGTTTTCTCAAAAGTACCCCGCCAACCCCCTTACCTAGACCTGTCCAGTTCTCGCCGCGCGCACTGAAACTATGGCTGAACTGTACTGTAGTGTAGTAGCTGAGGTTGTCAGTTTAGCGCGATGGATTTTAACTCGGCTTTGGCAGTTTGTGGATGTTAGTTATGTATTGAAAAGAAAAAAAGAAAACAGTGACGCGTGTGGTATAAAAAGTGGCTTTTGGACAGAAATAAGTTTTGTCACATGTTGTTACTGTCTGAACTTGCATCCAGTTACCCAGAAGACTTTAGAAACTATTTACGAATGAATCAGGACACCTATGAAGAGCTTCTTGGACTTGTTTTACAACGTATACAAAAGGAAGATACAGGTATGAGGCAATCAATTTGTCCAGAAAGTTTAAATGTCATTGAAAGATATCTCTTACACTCACTACACTAAATAAATACACACACCAAACAAACAAACAAGTACAAATGAACACAATAAACTGTAAATAAACAATACTTTGGACAGAAAACACAACTGGATAGTGGATGCGGATACCGCTCCAGGCTGGACAGACTGAGGCCATTTTCCTTCAGCTGCTTGACGTTGCCCATACAAGACCCAACATGTTTGACGCTCGGTTCGTGGTGGCCCGTCCTGTCGAGCCGAGCGTTGAACCCAACATATCTGTCAAGCATGTTGGAATGGCGCCCATACACGGTCGAACATGTTGGCAGAGCTGTTGGGAACAAGCGGCTCGGGCAACATGTTCGACTATGTATAGTGCCTTAAGTTTTTAAAAAGGAATTAATTTGTTGTAAGAACCATGGGATATTTTTATGCCAATATGTGCAAAGATTATGTTAAAAGTTAAATCGTGATAACTTTACTAAAATATACTTAAATTTACTTCCATGTAGATCTCTCATCTTAATGGAGGCTGTGAAGATTAATCGATTTTATGAAATCGGAATTCAATAGACTTCCTTAATTGATTAGGCCTACGACATCTAAATTTGAGAGAATACATCAATTAGAAGCATTGGAAAATGAAAATATTACTTTAGGCTACTGTTTACTATTTTACTCTTTAAAGATTCTGTAGGTAGGCCTAACAGAATACTTTTACGCTAAGAAAATATGTGTTGTTATGTTCCAGGTGAAGCTAACTGATGGCTCCACTCATAGAGCAATTATTCAAGATTATGATTTAAAATCAGATTTGGCCTTACTTAAGATCACAACTGATGTAAGTAAACTATCTTTAACAAGTTAGTATTTGCCTATGTATAACACGTGTTAGAGGCTATTCTAGCAATCACATACTTAAAATAATAAAACAACATTGAAAACTTTAAGAGAGGCATAATCAATTAATCAGAACTTCCCAAATAACTTTGTTATAATGTAGTTTACTTCATTTAAAAAAAACATCCAATGTACTAATTTTTTTTGGTCTTTTAAAAATACTTTTGTAGTTACTGTAGCTCTGCTCTAGCTCTTTACATCCAAACAATACATTCCTCATGTACTATCTATACCGGGGGGGGGGAGTAAATAGACGTCTTTAGCATGGGATTCTGTATTACATCAGTCAACACTAAAAACAAGATCCCCATTGCCTTAAGATGCCCTTTTTTTTTTTTTTTTTTTTTTTTTTTGCTCGTATATACGCCAGTGGCATTTTTGTAATGAAGTCAAACACTTTTAAGGGAAAGCGGTCCAAACCCATTAAAGTTTTGTGGATGTGCCGGGGATTGAACCCGTCCCTCCCGCACCGAAGTAGTATTTTAATCATGACTAGATAATAAACATCAAGACCCCAATCAAAGAGTTTCAAAGAGAGAGTACAAAGTAATTTCTATGACCTATGACTGATTATAGAAATACGAAAAATATTATGTTGTAAACATTTTTTAAAGTAATCTACAATATTTAAATATAGATCCCCTCTCATAACTGCTTTTGTTTCTCTTATGTACTGTAGGTGGGTGCCCTCTATGAGAATGTAGTAACCACACACTGTAAAGTGAGCTTTTCAGACCTAATGTAGCTAAATCCCTCTCCTGACGCCAACCAGGGAAGTAACTTCTTTTGTCTCTTACTATGCTCATAAGAATCTCACTTGACTCCTTGGAGCTCTTGTCCCTACAAATTTCTGACAAGGTTTTAAAAGATTGGGCAAATGAGTTGGCATTTTGACTCTATTTCCCGCAGTGGCGGTTCCAGATAGGGGGCCATAGGGGCCATGCCCCCCCCCCCCGAGAATCAGGTTTTTAAATTTTTTTTCAAGCTTTAATTTGAAAAATTGCATCCCGTTTCCCGCCATCCTATGCCTTCGTCACGTCAGTGCGTCAGTCATACAGTACATCCTACTACCCACTAGTGGCTCAGTAGTCAGTTGAGTATTTGTTTTGTTATGGGTTTTTGTTAGTAACACAGTTTTACAAGATTGAACCTATGTGCATCCCTCCACTTAAGCACAAGCACATGACAAAATTATAATGGGAAGTAATGGAAGCGTTTAAGGCTTAAGCTTTGGTTAGCTGTTTTCTAAGTTAGGTTAGTCTAGACTCAAGATTGAGCAACCACCATTACAGTACTACGAGTGCGACGTTGCCGATGTCTACCTGACTACCTCACTGACGTTTCTACAGTCTATTCACCCACGTAGACATGTGCGTTCAAGTGTATACATCAACAACGTCCCAGATACGCCTGGCTCGGAAATGTCGTACGGATACCATCTATTATAACTTAATACGGAGTATGCTAAAATACTCTAAAATACTCCCCTGGATACTGGCGCGCTGTGTGGTGGAAAAACGGGCCGTGCCCACCATTCAAAATGGTGGGATACTGAGGCCGGCGGGCCGAATGAACCTCTCTCTTTTACACAAACATACATTCTTTCATCCTGCTCTGCTACACTTATTTTTTAACATAAAGATTTCAAATTTATATGTTTTAGTCAGTGCTTATTACTTTGTAGTTAGTTTGAACATTAACATATTTTTTTCTAGTTTATTTAGGCAAATTAAGATTGATGGTAGTTTTTTAAAACTACTAAAAATGTCAAAAATGTAGTAAGCGAGGAACTTTTTTATTTTCTGAAACAATCATTGTTGAAGGAATACAATGCGCGTCGACATTAAGAAACAAAACATTTAAAAATAGATAGGTGAGGGTCAGTAAGAACAGAAAAAGTTTTTTCAATGGAAAAAGGAAGTTTTGCACTTAAACTTTCCATTTCAGATTACGAGATAAAACTTTTTCTTCGTCAGAGTGCTTAAAATGTCGACTTTGTAAGTATAATTTTTCCAAAATTTCCCGGACCTCCCTCCCACAATGGGGGGTATGGAATACCTCGGGGAAGTTGTGGCCATGCTGGCCTAGGATTAGAATAGCCCCCACACCCTCGATAGAATGGCCCCCTCCGAAAATTAGCTCTGGGACCGCCCTTGATTTACCGCATATTTTTTCATTGCATTTTTTGTTTGAATTGTATTCCGTGCTCTGTTGAGTTCTAGTGCCAACGTCGTACTTATACATCTGTGCGTGATCAGGATAATGACCTTGACGAATTATATTACCTACTCGGTGGTAAAACGTGTCATGGCTCTTGAAAAATTGTAGATCCCCTGTGTGATACTCTCATCTAAATGAGCTCCAGAGCTGATCATTTGAATTTGATTTTCGGATTTGAATTGACAAATTTTATCCAAATAGTTTCTGGATCTAAGGTCTACAGCCCTGTTTTCAGATGATTGGGAGTTTCCAATAAGTTCCTGAAAGTATGGTGAGTTCCGCAAATGAGGTAAACGAACCTTTCATATATGGCAACAAAGAGTAAAAATTATTTAATAGTCTCAGGCAGTCTTTTCTAGCTTAAAATGTAAGCCACCACATTTTAAACATTTAACGTTCATTTGTCCGAGTTTGGATGTATCACCAACGGTAATGCCGCTCTGTATCCGTCAAATGCTCCATTGGGAGGTTGATGCAAGCGGTCACGTTCAAGTTCCCTTCAGCCACTCACAGTTCTTCGTCTTATTGGTGGAATTTAATTTTAAATTGAGATCAAATACAAAAGTTAACCAAACAACAGAAAACACTACAAAGGAATTTCGATACACATTGTAAATTAAATGATATTATGGTAATGTTACGGGTAACTGAACTGTGAATAATCACTTTCAAACATTTACTTCAGCATACCGAACTGTAACCAAAACTACATGATAATTCAGTCAAATACAATGTAAGCTAAATACATTCAACTATGCCTATTACAAATAATTTGTTGTGGACGCGTTGCAGAAAGTCAACAGTCCCGGAAGGTCAAATAATTTATACCTGTGCCGCTAGGTCAAAAACTACAATGTTTGCAGTGTCTGTAGATCAAAAATCCCAGTAAGTCAAATAGTACAGTCCGAGCTAAAAACGTGGTCTATGTTAAAGCAATTGACTTATTGGGAATTTGACCTAATGCAACAGCAGTTTTAATATAACGAAATAAGATAAAATATAAAATAAGTTCAGTTTCGCTGAGTCAACAGTGCCGGAAGGTCAAAAGTATAATCTGTTAAAAACAACGATAGTCCTCTCGACGCATGACTTCAATAATTTCGTGTTTTGGTGTACTTAAAGTTGTGAAAAAATTTTGAAAATTGGCGCAGAGGTTCTTGGTTAGTCCTACTCGATGACTATTTTGTTGGAACTTTAAACTATTTACTGATCTAATTAATAAAAATTGATATGTATGGTGAAATAGTTTTAAATCGTGATTTCTAGCATGAAAAAGTTAGCATGCGAGATTTTTTTTGTTTTTGGGTTATAGAGGTTTCGTCTGTGGCAAAGTTGTAGCCAAAAGTGTGATGCGTAAAATATATATTTTTTTAATTTTTTACAATCAGTGGTTCAATAGATAACTTGGGTTGAAGAGGACGGCAAATTTAGCATTTCGCAACGCATGGAAAGAACTACATCGTACGATGCGACTGCTGAGTGGACTTTTAATTTACAGTTCTAAGAACAAGAAAAAGATGAATATACAGATCACCAGTACATTCATATTATTTATAAAACATCTTTCTGTATTACCAGCTTACATTTTTCACTTATAAGAATACATCATAAACAGGGTGTTAAAAATAAGCGGGGAGATACTTTACCTAGTAATTCCTTGGGTCAAAATAAACAGAAAATCAAGGATAACATTTTTTCCGAAATCGTTTCGTTAACCAGATATCCACCATTTTTTATTTTTTACATACAAATATTTATCTTTGCACTTTTCCAACCGATGTTTATGAAACTTGGTATGTATGTTAAGGTAGGAGAGACCCATGTTATAAAAAAATATTCATCTCGATTTACCCTAAAATGTCAAAATTTAACACTTAACTACAATATAATATACTTTACTACACCACAATATTTACGTATCACCATAAATCTTTAACAAAATAAAACGTTAACATTTTTAAAATCCAAAGTAAATCAATATAATCTTTCTTTTTTGAAAAATATATTTTAAAAAAGGCGATGGTAAAATAACGACAGGCGAGTTTCGATTTGGGTGTTTCAGGTTTGAATCTAGGAGGATTTAACATTAATTAGGTAACATTAATGTTTAATCCTCCTAGGTTTGAACTGATTGAGAGGAATACATGAAACCGAAGGGGGAGGTAGCAACAAGTGCACTATATAGTATTTACTAGTGTCCAATTACAATTTGATGGATTTAACCAAAACCTGTTCTATTTCACTTATTTTCAGCTGTTAAATTTCAAACGATACGTTTTAGCGACATCATTAACGTTATTATCATCATCATCGTTTGAGTTTGGGTTTGCGGCAAAGTATTTTTATGAATAAAACCTTTAATTTGATACCAAACTTGACCTCTGCTGCTATTAATTGACTGTAAGGTCCGTGAAGTTAGCCCCCCCCATAAAAGCACTAACAATTAAACTAGTATTAATGGTTAGTGCTTCGTTAGTGCTGGTTAGTGCTTCAACTCCCATCGTTAGTGCTCTTACGGTTCAGGAGCTATAACCGAAAAACTGTGGGGGGGGCCAACTTCACGAAAGTTAGCCCCCCCCCAGTAGTAATATGTAAGCACAAACTTTTAAAACTGTACCAACGGTTAGTGCTTCATTAGTGCTGGTTAGTGCTTCAACTCCCATCGTTAGTGCTCTTACGGTTCAGGAGCTATAACCAAAAAACTGTGGGTGGGGCCAACTT